TCATTTTATAGCGTGTATCGCATTTCGAAAGTATACTCGGCTCAAATTTACCTCGAAATAGCAAATTGATGCGTTTATATTAAAATGTTAATAATAACCGTCATAACGCATTAACACAATAACGACATAACATAAGACACCATTCGTTTGATATTTAGGGAATGCATGGGTTAACTTTACTAAACAAGACGTATGCTGCCAAGCGGCCTTCGACAGCCCCGTGTTATGTCATATTAGTTGACATTGTATAATTTATTTTCGTGCAGGTTATATATATACATATATATATATATATATATACACAGGCCTACCTTGGTTATATAATACTCAAGTTCTATTGTAGTTTAACGTTTAAATGCTTCTTCCAAAATGTCTGTGTTGAAGGATTATACTCAAAGAAGACAGCTCAGTGGATTGATAGAGGACTATTGATATCCCACCAAATGAAAAAGTCGATCACAATGTATCGCACCAATCAGTGTGTTAATTCGGCTAGAGTGTAAATGGGCTGTGCCTGCTGTGACTTGTGAGGGCGTTTATGCAGGGTTTCCACAATAATTTATCAAAAAGTGAATAATAAATGCTTTTTATAAAGTAACGTTCTGATTGGTTGATTTGTACCACGTGGATGAATTTTACACAGCAACCACGCCACGGAAGTGCCGTTATAAGATTTATTGGATTGGCAAAATGGCGTTATTCAATACGAAAATTGTACACTTGTCTGTTAGTAAATAGTGTATAAAAGTCATTCACTATATAAATGTAATAATTTCAACAATTGCTATACAGTCATGATTGTGGATATCAATAATAAGCTATGGGAATAATAAATGGTGTGTAATCGTATTAAATCAAAAAAATGACATGATAATCTCTCTAGTTTACAATATTCTGCTTGATTTTCGAGGTATTTATCCCAACATATTTGACCATTTCGAAATATCCTACCAATTTTTGGCGAATTATTTTGGCAGATTAATGCGTATTTTACAGTTAAATATTACGAGAAGCACATATAAGCCATTCATGCATTTCCATGTGTTTGTCTTGTAAGCATTTTTCATCCTTGATTGTACACGAGACGCAAACTCAGTCACAAGTGTGACATGAGCTACGCTCGATTATATACTTGCGATTTTTGCTGCGATTTTCTCCTTTTGATAGATGTGAACAAGTAATTAGTTACGAATGCTCTAATGTACAAGACGTCTTACTTGAATATCACTAACTAATTCACTCGTTTACATCTATCAAAAGAAGAAAATCGCAACATAAAATTGCAGCATTCTATTCTAACGATTTTCACTGTCGGTTTTCATCTCATCACAAATGATGAATTACAAATTTTCCATCGAAATTAACAAGCAGGAATTAGATATTTTGGACAACATGCACAATTAATGTCGAAGATGAAAAATTTCTAGCAAATGGAGGCTGTTAATTCTTTGTTTTTAGTCGTTGTAAAGCTAAGTAATATGCGTTATGAAGAGCTAGCTCTTTGCGTACACACATCCTGAATTTAAATCTCAAAACTTGCATGCATCTTCACCGATTGATCCCTTCTAACGTAGCTGCATGCATATAGCTAATTTCAACCTACATGTCAAACAAGTTCAGAGTTATTGGCGGGCTAATTGTTTCTTTGGTATTATTTTTTTGTCGAGAAGATTCTGTCTCAACGTGTTTAGTACCTATATTTATAGACTTATATGTAGATTGTTAAGATACAATATTTCATAATTTCTCAGTTTCAGCACACGTATGTGTAACTATCTGAAACTCAAACACACATTGAGACTCACACGACATAAAAACAAAATTAACACAAATGAAATAAAGCCGTTAAAATACCCCCTATACATGCTTTGATTTAATGGTACAATAATTTCGTCAACCCGGCAATTTCTCGATCGGTCGAATGTAACCGATAATCTTAATCTCTATTTCATGCACATGGCCAGTGGAGTGGTCTTTTACGGAGTTGTATTACTTCTACCTCACATTCGTTAAAAAATACTTTATTATTAGATTTTATCAACAAGCGGTTATCAATTTGTGTAATTTCGCATGCTATAGTGAACATTACTTACCTCAACACAAGTAACAAATATTCTTGACTTACAAAAACGTGGAAATGACTGGAAAGGGATAGACGCTTTACATATACAAACGAACAGAGAACGCTTTTTTACTTTCGTATTTGTAGCACCAATTATATAACGTTCTCAGCATGAAACTTGCATTCGCTTTTGTGGAACTATAATGTCAAAACATGTTCCTTTTTTGGAAATTGAATGAGTAAATATAGACTAGATTGTTTAGTACATTTTGCAGTCAAATAATTTGGGTGCCGACAGTTACAGACAAATATGATTAAGGTTGCCTATAAATTAAGCTATGAGTAAATATAGACTAGATTATGCATTGTTTAATATATTTCCGCAACGAAAATATTTAGGTGCCGACAGTTACACACAAATATATCGCGCTAGTTTTGGCCTTGCGTGTTTACTTGATAGAAAACATCTGATTATAAAATTATTAATGAAATTTCGAAGAACGAATGTTATCAACTCTACCATTTACAACTGAGACTGATATCGTAAAAAACTTTTCAAATTGATGACGCAAAAGAGATTTGTCTAATGTTTCTAGTTTCAGTTTTAGTCGGTTTACTGTTTTTTTAGACTGAATTTTTCGTTTGATCAAAAATTTTTGCTTGCATGATTTCCTTTTCAATTGTGACCGGTCAAAGGAATCCACCACGGACAACAAGGGTTTGAGAGTATCGTTCCGTGTGCCATGCAAGTCCTCGGCAGGATCGCTGCATTGTCCTTTTTCGTGCATTGCCTTAATTTTGTGAATTTATCGTCAATGAGTTCGGAACTGTTTCAATAGACCACTTTCATAACAGACCAACTTTTGATTTAGGGAACAAAAGAGGAATTTCCGAAAAGTTGCGAAATATTGTAAAATACCGAAGATAGTTCTTGAACTACATCAAGGCGTTTTGGTAAATTTTGCATAACTTTGTATACTATGGCCGGAAGAGTATAACTAATACATTTTCCTCTGTAATACAAATGTATATATACAAAAATTGCCTACTTTGTATATATGCCTATATTCTCCGTACTACATGACATTTTACAACTAAACTTGGCAATTATACTTTAGTATATACTCTTTTTAGCACTGGTGATTTATTTTATGTCATTACGTGTGTAGGTTTCTTTAAAAAATAGCATTTAACAATCTTTAACCGGGTCTAACTGTTAATTCAAACTGCATGTTTACGAAGATTTCAACTCCCCGCATTGATCCCCGCAATCCCAAGAAAAACACAAAAATAATAGTCATGTCAAAACATACATACAGCTCAAGTTACTTTAATTTTGCTTTTATAAATTGTACACTTTTCTGTTCGTGAAATTATAAAAAGCAATCACTATAAAATTAGCTAATGCATGTCCACAATAGTTGCATGCTATACATTTGTGATGTTTGTGAATATAATAGACTATTACAAATCTGTATGATGATATCTGTATCACAATAATCCTTACTTAAAACCCGACTTTCGGTGTATTTTTTTACTATAACTGGTTATCAACTTTCTTTTAACTGATGTACCCCAGAGGCCAGTTGTTCAAAGCTAGGTTAGCATATAGCCCTGGGTTAAATTTTAATCCAGTGTCTTATTTAGTTTATGTGCTTCTGAGCCATGCATGGTTCGTTTCAAAACTTTAAAAAATAGACTTCTATTAGTTAAGAAAATACTTATGATACTTTGTAAACAGTCGATTAAAAAATTGATGTAAAGATTTGCTTTAACCCAGGGTTCAGCTAACCGGCTTTTGACAACCAGTCCCACTGAGGAGTGGTTTTACATCCTAAATTTACTTTTTAATTGTACGCGACGATTATTCAAGTTTCTTTTGCTTTACCTGGTGCATATATACATAGCTACATATATCTCTCTACATAATATATCATAAACTGGCTATAAACTATTTATATGATGTTAGTTGGGTGCCGCAATGTTTGCAGATACTTTGAATTTATCCATGCATCACCAACATGGCGGCAAAAACATTCGAATTTTCAGAATCTTCATAACATATATTCGACACATCTACTATCCACTTTGGGCACATTATTTGCATGATTATAGATAAACAATAATGAGTATACTTTCACAGTTAAACATTGAGAAGCATACAAGCTTTAATAAGCATGTGCGTATAATCAGTGTTTTACGGATAAATCAACATTAGCATTAAAGTGGAAGTCAAGTCCGTGTGCAAACTGTTTGCTTACATTTTAAACTTCAATACTTTTTGAAATACGTTGTGTTGTGCTGAGTATCTAACAACATTCAGGTTTGCTATGCCTTTAATTAAACAAAATTTTAACTAGTGTTTCTGATGAGAAAAACTCGAAACACACGAAATTTGGGCAAAATATTTATCTAACAACCTCACATTGTTATGACGGAACCGATGCGCAGAACGGACTTTTGGCTTCCACTTTAAATTATGAAAATTTCTCGCAGAGAATTGCTCGTTGTTCTTTGTGAGAATATTTAGTCAATTAAACAATACATGAAAGGTCTGTAATAGAAATTTTAGAAGTGATTTCGTGAAGAGCTCCTTCAAACATTTCTCATTTCAAACTTGAATGCAATCTCATTTAACTGCATGATTTACTAGTAACGTATATAATTCATTATGATATAATTTCCACCCCAGTTAATAAAAAAGTAGTTGTGAACGGGAGCTATAGGATTGTTTGTGATTGGTATATTTTTTTCTTGGAAAAATTCTCCTAAACGCAACAACTTTATCGCGTTTTTGTTTTTGTTTCTTATAATACATATGTTTAGTACAGGGGTCGATTGCACGAAAGCTGGATAGTGTTATCACTAACGCATAGTTGATTACAACTGCAAAAGACTTAGTAATTAAAAGGGATGAAATTGTAAATATTGACCTACAATGAATAAAGAAATACTATTTCGATAATAATTTTTGAGCGAATAAAAAACTGTGTTTTCGGTGCATGGATAGCGCTATCCGGCCATCGTACAACCGACCCAGCATTTTTGGCATATCTCACAATTCATTTAGCACAAGAATGTGTAAATATTCTGAAACCCATTCACACTTACACTAACTGAGTGAAAGGTCAAGATCACCTCAAATGACAAAGAACGGTTACGATACCCGGGGTTTGGTTTTATGAATTAGTATAGGGTAGCGGTGGTTTTCACCCAAAGCCTTCTCCTTGAAGAAGGTTTACTTTATCACGATCATTTTTCCTGTCCTATATATACAATGAGCGTGAGTAAATCTTTCTTGGTTTTAGGAGATTTTTCAAAAAAGGTCTAGACTAAAGTGAATAAATAGATACTTCCAACTTATTGTTAGATAGATCCAACAATAACTGCGCTAGTTGTAAAAGCCATTAAGATTAGCAAGACAAGTTAAACGAAGTATAGTAAAAACAGTCGCTACTTGTCTCGCCGCAGTTCAGTTGTTCTCGAAAAGCCGTTCACTTCCGATAATTTTGCATCCACAATTCCACATTCAAGCAAGCAAGTGGCTTTTTAATGAGGCAGAAAAAGTCCTGAAATGACGGAACTCACAATTCAGTATTAAAAAGCGTTATCATTATAATTATATGGGATACATAAGTGAATTCATGCTTGAAATCAATGGGTGTCGGAAGCCAGTAGGTTTGCAAAAGATTGAAAGATGAGTAGAGATATTCGAGTTATGAAATAAATTTCGCCCAAATACACTACATTGTAATTACAGCTACAATTACAAATCAGTCGGGATGATATTGATATAAAAGAATTACCTTTTAAACAAGTCCTGCAATTGCGTGCTTTGGTAATAAGCAAAAATAATCTCAAATTTCTGTATTTTGCTAACGTTAACATGCACGAATGCTCAATGCTATAGTATACTATCAATTTTTTGAATTTGTGATATTTGGTTTTAAAAAGATATTGCATATTCTAATAATTTTTTTTCGCTTCTTCAATTTTTCTTTATGTTACCTCGATTTACTATGGACATCATCGCCAAAGTTTTAGCTTCAGCTAGTTGCACCGACTCTATAGAAAAGATTTTCTATACTGAACGACTAAAGACTAACCACAAATCATTCCAAATCATTCTAAATCATTCTAAATCATTCTAAACCATAGATCGCAATTTCAAAAGAAACCTGTTACTGCATGTGCATGGCCAAAGGTGAAATCTTCCCTGATTAATCTTCGTCACTGCTAGTATTGCTATTGCTATGATCAGAAAATGTTATATCAATCAAATAATCTTTTTCGAGTGATGATGGAAATTTTTGTGGAAAAATTTTCGATTCTTGTTTTTCGTTATTCGCTTGCACACGAAAATCTGAGGGTAACTCGAAATTTGGAGGCAGCCCGTATTTGAGCCCAAAGAGTTTAACCATTCTTATCTCACCAGAAGATCCAAGCGAAACAATTTTGTCCTCATCTGGAGACATTGCCATGCTGATAATCGATTCTTGACTCACGTATGCGATGGATTTCCACACAGAGAGATCAAACAAAAACACAACACCATCGACACCGTAAGATATCAGATAGCGATTCTCTCGCAGAAATTTGCAATATTCAATTCTACCCGTATGATTGTTTGGCACATTCCAAAAACTATTTGAACCATTAACAGGGAGGATGAGAATCTTATTACCAATACAGCAAGCAAGAAGCTTATTGTCAGACGAGACGGTGCAATAATTACATTTACGATATGCTATGCGATGCACGTTAGGCATGTGCACAAGGTTGAAAGAACTATTTGGAGGGTAATCTAGTACAAGAACAGACATTGCGTTACAGAAATACAACTTGGTAATATCTGAAGAAAAGCAAACACTTTCTATACGCATCGTGGTATACGGAAGGCGTATAAGGTGAGAAAAAACGCGATTCGTCACATCCCATACGTAGAAAGGCTGGCCATAAATCTCACCATCACCTTTTTGGATGCAAAAAAGAAGTAAAGAGTTGTCAGTTGAGAATATTAGATAAGGAATACGGTATTCGCGTTCTTCTTTGATATTAAAAACTGAGCAAAGAAACTTTCCACCTTTAAATAAAATGAGCTCAGATCCTTGGTGCATGGCGATTATTTTTCCATCATGAGAAAAAGTACATTTCTTCACGAAGTCCTTTGTTGAGTGCTCATTCTTACCTAAGTATCGAATGTCATGCTGGATCATGTCTTTATCGGTTAAGTTGTACGACAGGCACAACCCATCGGCAAAGAGAAATATAATTGAATCAGGTGAGGTGAATGTAACTTTATTTGGCTGAATTGGCTTAGTATAATTTCTAAACCAATAACGAACAAATTCTCCAGGCAAATCTTGTAATGAAACAACTTTGGCCTCATTGTTAAAGCCTTTGAAAATATATCGAAATTTACTGTGCACGTGGTGGTAGTATTCAAAAGACCAAGGAAACGAAACTACTGTTGAAGTACTTTCAATCTCTGTGCCTGTCTGAAGAGAAACTGCAAACAATTTCTGCCCAGAAACGTAGATAATATAATCGTCGTGGATGAAAGCAAGATTGTCCACCATTTTCATTTCAAGTAACGCAGTTGGACGATTTTTCCAAATACTTTCGTGTATCTCTTCAAACAGCTTGAACTTACTATTACTAACTACAAGCTGTTTCGGAGTAGTGTAACTATCAGAATAACCAAAACACCTTATAGACAAAACATTTACACTTTTACCTGCAGAATACTGTTTTAACAGATCTTTGTCTACAGTTCCTGCGAGAAGAGTATATTTGCTGTACAAATCTTTCAGCTCTGATAGAGACGACAATATATTTGAAACCGGCCTATTATGAAGTGAAATTTTAGACAAATCTTGGCTATCATCTTCGCTACTCGAGGAAAACCGGCTAAACAAACAGTGCTTCTTTGAACGACGACCTATTTTTTTCGATAGATAAGGTTCTAAACCTTGATGGAAAATGTAATGAAGACTTTTCTCTCTGAAACTTTCACTTGGCAACAGATCTTCTTCTACAGTTAACGCACACGGAGAAAAGTCGATGGTCTCTTGCTCCTTACGTAATTTTGCATTTACATAATCCGATAAATATAAATGCAGACATCCCTCAAAAAAGATATCAAAAAAACGTTCCTCACTGATGCTTAGATAGTCAATTGGCAGATCATCCAATACAGTGATCGAAAGACCAAAAATTCTATAAAAGGCGTGAAATATTGCAATGTCATGAAGCGCAATATCTTCTGCATGTGATATGATATATTCAATAGGCATGACAGAAAAAATGTGCCAAAGATAGAAAAATGGCATTGACTTTATCTGCGAGGAAAACATCTCTTCTAACACAGGCCTTCCAGTCTCGACATTCCAGATTTGACGCTCAAAGATATCAGCATAATAAAAAGAAATTCGTTCGCGAATATCCATCTCCGGATTGTCAAGTTCTTCATAGTTCTCACAATTTTTGTGGCTTTCAGAAAACGGTAAGAGGATTTCATGATGCATTTCCCGAGTATAACCTAACCATCTGTCTTCCGGACAAAATTCTCTATCACCATATAAAGCCAACTCCTTAATTGCCCATCTAGAAAGCATGTGACGCAAACAAACTGGATGTTTAGGAATTTGCCCACTCACCGCAATATATTGGCCATTAGAAATAAACGAACCCCATTCATAACACTTAAAGTTCCCCGTAAACTGAGTTTTCTCCACGACACGTTCCTCCTCCACCGATAACCATCGGTCAAGTCTCCCAAAAAATATGAATTCGTCATCTGGAGAAAATTCCAAATGTGATATATCTTGGTCATTTTCAAACACCACTTCAATTGGCCCGAATTTTTTTTGGAAAGAAACCGAATGATACAAAAATATAAAATGTCCTTTCGCTCCAGCAAGGAAGCGTTTGTCATGAGAAAATGTACAGAACTGCATGCCATCAAAAATATTTTTCACAGAGACAGCATGATCGAATGCATTACATGACTGGCCTTGGATAATTCCACTGAGAGCTAAAAAATTTGGTGGCCTAATATTGGCCTGTGTAAGCTGAGATGCTTTCTGGAGACAAGAGGCGAGAAGTTCAGAACTTCCAAGAACAATATATTTGTCTTCCCTAAGAACCGAAGCGATGTTATCTAGGATAGCTTTTTTCTCCTGATGAAACCCTATGTTGGCAACAGATAGCTCTAGATCTTCAAGGAGAGAATAAATTCCTAGTTTGTTATTTTCTAATCGCTGCTTAAGAAAGCAGTAGTTTGTCAGGCACCTAAAAACAATTTCGGAGTGCACAGACACATCTGTACCTGACTGATACAACAAACGAAATCCAATAACTAAGATATATGTCACTACATCGCGTGAAGTGTCGTCAAACGAAGGGTCATTTTGTTGTTCTTCAAGAAAAGAATGGAGAAATTCAACGATAATGTTTGTAAAGTATCTGCTTGACACAACTTTGTCAATAAACAATTCTCGAGACGCCTTGTGTTCATCAGATAACCAGGACGGAATCAAACCGTGAAGAAACGCAAAAGTTTTATCTGAAGTTCGTAAGGCAACAAACAGCGAAACAGCATCAATGACTTCCTGCTCATTTAGAGCGTTGTTTTCTCTTTTCAAAAGAAACGAAATAAATGAAACAGGAAGTGGAGAAGGTGCCACCAAAGCACAGCCAAACAATTTCCTATAGATAGGGTCACCTATTTTTTCTTTGACGCGTTCGAAATTTTTGTAGAAGAATTCGTTAATATTATCAGGGAAAATATGTGCACCATCCTTAATCTGGTCAGGATGTTCCGCAATGTAAAAAGCGTACAAAAACATTCCATTGCATTTTTCTGTTAGTTGTTCAGCAGTGTAGGGCAGACCCACAAAGTTTAACTTATTCTCTAAAAAGCGCTGAATATCCTGT